TAATGGTGCGAACAAAATGCCTTTGGGATTGTAATCACCATCATCTTCATCATAATTTCATAGTTTATCATTTAGAGAGATTGCAAGAATTTCTTGATTTTACTTTCGCAATTTGCTTATCGCATGATAGATGAGGAAACATATTTTAGATTGGAAAAGAGGGAGTATTAAAATATTGGATTTCGGCCTATCGGCTACAAGGGAGCGATTGTCTGATGTACCACTTAAATTAACTGTTATGTATATGAACAGCAGTTGCATGAAAATGGGAAATCAGTGAGGCCGAAATTGGAATATATACCAAAAACATTTACCACCTCTATCATTCTATTAGTATTACCATATTTTCCTGATGAATGGGGAGTAATTCGACATTGTAGATTCTTGAAAAGTGCAAAAAATATATTTATAACATTTGGGGACATAGGTCCATTTTTTGATATACATGTAAAGGATCTGTTCATTGTCGGATTGGATTTAGTCACATTTACCCAATGAAGTGGCTGTAATTTTATGATCCCGGATCGTGTAGAGTAGAACACATTTGTGTTGATAATTTTCTATACAGGTACAAGTGTTAACATAAGCTGTGTTCCCAAACCTGCAATATAGTACTATATCGTACTAGTTTTGCAATTGTTGCTAGAAAAGCGTTTCCTTACGCCGAAAAGTAGGAAAAATTGAAGTTAAATTTAAGAGAGTTAAAACCAAAATGGCGTTCTCTTCTCCATGTAAGCCTTTCCGGGCTCGGAGTCGTCGGAAACTCCACTTTCAAATATTCGATAAGGCTTTCCTCTAAATTATACAAATAAAAAAATAAACAAAAAATATGTATATTATCAAAATCACGCAATGGACGCCGTTTAACTTTTTGTTTTTTTTTTGTGCATTAGGTTTCTGTAGTCTTTTTTTTGTCCTTAACAAATGAAATTTTTGATTTTGACGTTTCTTCATGTTTTAACTATTTTTCGTTCCTTTACTTTTTGCGCAAATCTTGTATGTGAGAGTAATTTTTGATAGTTCGCTCTTTTACTAGCTTTACTATCAAAAAGTGCGGGAACGAACCTATAGTGTTTCGTCCTCATTTTAAGTATGTATAATTTTTGCTTTCTTTTTTCTTGAATGGTGAAAAACATGTTTGCCTATTAGGTCCATTTTCTGTATTTGGAAAATTTTGGCTTCATTCCGACTTGTCGTATGATGAAAACGTTTGTTGCAGATATATTTTCAATATTCCGAAGGTCTTAACTCACTTATTCAACCTGATTATCTGTAATTTCGTGTTTTGCTTTTTCAAAGGATAAAAAATAAGCCCCAAACATATATATAAAATTGTGGTCAAGGTCCACATACTGAACATATTTTAGGTATAGTGTCATCCATTTGTGCCCAATAGGAATTGGAACGGTTACATCATCCTGATCTTAGCTTTGCTACACACTACTCGTATTTATCTAGGGCGCTGTTTCTCTGCTTGTGCGATAAGCTTGTTGTCTGAGTGAGGTTCTTCTATCTCTAGATCATGAAGATCTCTTTCGAAGTGTCCATAAGGCTATAAAAGAGGTAATCCCGACAGGTAAGAGGAACTGTATCGACATAATTTGGTCTGAATGCTCTTCCACTGCGCATCACATACATTCACAAGCCACAATGGTTCGCATAGCTTACCACTGACCGCCCCATTGATTTGTATGAGGTCAACACAGTCTCTGCCGGTCAGCGTTATAGAGGACTTGAAAAGGCTGTCGAACATTATACAAAATATTTTGGGGTAATTGTTGGTCGGAATCTGCTTTCCATCGAACTCGGTCCATAGGTGTACAGTGTGGCTGTGGCCTCCTCAGATGGAGGAAATTCATATGGTCAGATATATAGATGTTTACTCTCTCACATGCTATGAATAATAATTTAAGAATAGCCTAACCCTCCTAAGAAAAATGCAAGGAATCATGCAAGGAATCAAGATAGAAAGACGTACTGATCTACAAACAAATTCATCAGAAATGCAGAAATTCGCCAAAAATACATACAATGACTACAAAACAAGATAGGGTCCCCAGCAAAAAAATGATCTCGCCATACCTCTGAACTTTGCGCTATGGCGAATTTTTCCTTCTGGGGTTCTCATCTACTCATCAAGGTCATTCATTCCCAATTAGAATTTCCCACCCTCCATACCATAACCCGATTTTGTCCACAGTTTATTAGTACACCTGTGACAAGTGGCACATGGCACTAGGGGCTAGAGATCCCATTTTTGGTCATAATTAGAGCAGAGGATATATGAAATAAATACATAAAGATCACATATAAGTGTTTCCGGTATTTTTTGTTTATGTTGAGTTACCAAGATTTTGAAAATCAAATAAAATGAATCAAAAATGGCGAATCCGGCATAAGAAAAAAATAAAATATTTAATTTATTAACAAAATTTACAAACAAAATAGCATATAATCGTTTGTTTGGGTAAAATTGTCAGACTCTGACTGGATGTATCGTTCACATTTTCACTTGTGCGTATGATTTGTGTCAAAACGTATACGTCCCCTGGTACCTATTATTTATTTAAATAAAATGAATTCCACAATGTTCAAGGTTTCTTATCTTGGTAACAACTTCAAACATTAAATAGACACGACAATGTATGCAGAATATAAAAGAAAATTCACCACAACAATTTTAATTGCGGTATTGGTGTTTTCTTGGGTTTTAGGTAGACCGCAACAACACTTATTCCCATGAAAAGGAATGCATATTATTCCAACCACTTTACGAATTTCAATAAGATATTTTATTTATGTCTTTCATACCAACTCTCACATCTATCATTTCACAGTCAACATTTTTCACTGCGTTTATTTCCCGCTGTTTTGTCAGACTCCCTACAGAAAATGCAAAAACGTTATAAGAAATATATTTGATTTTTTTCTTTTTTGTGAAAAATCATCATAGCTTAAAATTTTTGTTGTTGTTGGTGCTCATGCTCATTTCATTGCCAACAATGAAGAAGATTTTTGCAAATCTTGCAGATATAGCGATTTTACTTAAAGTCAAAGTGAAGTGGAGAAGGAATTGTAAATATGCTGCTATTTGAAAGAATTTAAGATGAGATGTTTGCGGTTATTTTGCTTGTCGGTGGTTTATAAATATCCATTTATCATTTTCCATTACAGCAATATAACTGAAGCGCAAAAAAATATTTATATAGACTATATATTGTGCCGACGATTCTATGTAGGTATATATGTGTTTCCCCCTCCAAACTGACACACTCATAACCATCAATTTACTTCAACCACACACTTGAATAAATTGTGTTTAAATTTATTTAATGTGGGGGGTCGTTTCTCTGTCCCACGACTCACACAGTGGTTTTCAGAACAATAAATGTTTTTTTTACTAACCAAACGGTTCGTCAATATTTATTTTTATATCCTTCACCACCCTGTGGTACAGGGTATTATGTCTTTGTGCGTATGTTTGTAAGAGGCAAAAGGAAGCGAGATAGACACATGGTTCCTTTTGAGAATATGCATAGAATCACTTTCTAAGTCGATTTATGCATGCCCGTCCGTCTGTCTATCTGTCCATGTTAAATTGTAAACAATGTACAGGTCGCATTTATGATCCGAATGGGATGAAATTTGGCACAGGTCACTTATTTGGCCCATTTGAACCAATTGAAATTGGGGAAAATCGGTTCAGATTTAGATATAGCTCCCATATATATTTTCGCCCGATTTAATGTAAATGGTCCTTATATATCCTTCAATTTGCACGAAATTTGGCACAGAGTACTGAATTAGGTCTAGAATTATGTATGTTTACTTTCCTGAAAATCGGTCCAGATTGAGATATAGCTCACATATATATTCGTCCGATTTAAGGTAAATGGTGCGCCAAAGTCCCCATATATCTTTCGATTTGCACGAAATTTTTCATAATTCACAGATGTCCGATTGATATATGTTTTTTTTTTTTTTTAAATTTAAATTCCATCGATTTGCACCAAATTTATCATAACGTACTGAATTGAGCATAGAGTGATGTCTGCCAAGTTTCGTGAAAATCGGTTAAGATTTAGATATAGCTCCCATATATATTTTCGTCCGATTTAATGTAAATGGTGTACCATAGCTTAACTCATATTATTAGGTCTTGAATGATTTGAGTTAAGTTTCCTGAAAATCGGTCCAGATTTAGATATAGCTCCCATATATATTTTCGTCCGATTTAATCTAAATGGTACACCAAAGTCCCTATATAACTTTCGATTTGCACGAAATTTTGCATAATTCACAGATGTCCGATTGATATATGTTTTTTTTAAATTGATTTACAAAATTGTATCCCATTGTAAGAAGCAACTCTATATCGGACCAAATTAAAAATTTAGTATAGGTTGCAGAATGACATGTTTATGGATCCAATTTCATTTTACTGGTCCTTCAAAAATGCGACGTCTGTTTGGATTCATCTGTTGAATATATCCAAAGTGGTGAAGGGTATCATATAGTCGGCCCCGTCCGACTTTACCACTTTCCTTACTAGTTGGATCTCTATTTCCTCAACGATAAAATTCTTTATGATTTTCCCGGCCCTTTGGTAATATTTTCTGATGAAAAACAAACAACTGTAATCACAATATTTTGGGGTTTCAAGTAATGACTTGAGACATCATATATAGTCGCCACGTATGACTAACTGGAGCATGGTGTTGGACGGAGTCAAAAATTTGCTTCAGACTCCAAGCAAAAAAGTTATCAAATACAAATTAATAACTAGTTATATGCCGCGTATGCGTGTTGTCACAACGTATACGCAAAGTGACACCACTGTTCTTTTGCAAAACGTTTCAATACACTCCACCTTCACAAAAATCATTTCATTTCAATGGGTTTTCTTCTTCTTTTTCAAATTCAGTTAAACACCAACAAAAGCTAACAGTTCTTCCGTTTTTCTTCTTCTTTTTTCTCCTTCCATCACGATTTCATTGCAGATGTCCGTAACGAGCAAATGGATGAAATGCTATGGCTGCCTGCTCATCTTTGTGCAACTGGCAATTACAATTGTAATCGCCTGTAGAGTTTCAGAATATCCGTGCAAGGGAAGCACGAATATTTGTATACCTCTGGATAAATATTGTGATGGCAAAGCTGACTGTGAGGATGGCAGCGATGAGCCGCGCCATTGTACGGGTAAGTAAAGCAATCAGAGAAATGAATTGAGAGGAAAAAAACTACTACAGCAACAAACAACAACAAAAAATGAGGAAAATTATATATAAACTCTGAAGTAAACAAATAAAAACTTCAAATTGAAATCAAAATAAATGAAAGTATAAAAGAAACTATTTAGAAAAAAATACAACTAAATAAAAAAAAATATAGAAATGAAATAATGTGTATAGAAATATACACAGACGTTTTTCCCATGGTGCTTTTTTATGTGGAGGAACATTTCTCTGTTGAATATAGTCGGTATATTTTTTCACTGTTGTTACCTCATTTCATTTATTGACATTTAATGGTAATGTTTGCTTTGGAAAAAGTGTGTCTGACCAACAGCTATTGTTCCGCAACAACAAAAAGCTTTTATCTACTAAAGTAGTTGCACTTGGTCTCCTCCGGAATATCAAAAAAATTTTGAGTTAAAATAAGACGAGAAGCGAGTGCATCCTCCATCATGAGGAAGATACTAACTTTTCAAAACGAATACATTTTAATATGCCCGTTTAATGGCCATTGGATTGGCCTATATAGTCAAATAGTAGACTTATACAATTAATTGTTTGCAATGAAATTTCACACGCTATTGACTCCAGAAAAACTAAATTCAGTATGCATAAGGACACAACATTTCCAAATTATAATGGCCCAACTTTTAGACAGTCTCTTCTAAAAGACTTACAATCGTACGATATTTTTATTGAATATGTGACCTGCAAAATGAGAATCAGAAATTCCAAATTACATCCAACTCCTTTGGTGTTTACACATTCTACTAGGGCTCAATATTACCAGCCGAAGTGGCTCTAATTTGACTTCTTGGGATGTTGGTGCGTACAAAATGTTCAATGTAGGTCGATATAAAAGACCTGCCCCTGTATTCTGTAACTCTTTAACAACATTCGATATCGTCTATTTTACAACAATTTCATTTGTTTGTTTTATTGTTTTTACAATAACAAAAGAAATTAAAACAATATCGAATGTTGTTAAAAGTCACAGTATAGACCTACTGCTATATTTACGATATGTTTAAGGTCACTCCAGCATTTTTCTACGTAGTTTAAATTTATTCAGACCCTGTCTCTGACTGGCATTAATATTTCATACGATGAGACTTCATATTTGACTGGTATTACGTCGGTCTACATCAGCCTAGGGACGAACCCTATAGTGAATCTAGAAAATCGCTTCCATTGTATCTTTGTCCGATTTTTTCTTAATGGTGCACCAAACTTCGAAAATTTGTCCGATTAAGACAAAATTTTTCACAGCCTACTGAATTAGGTCCACATGGACGTATGATATAGCTCCCATATATATTTTCGTCCGGCTTTATTTAAATGATGAATCAAACTCCCAATATTTGTCCGACTAAGACAAAAATTTTGACAGCGTACGACCCGGTTTATGTCTCTGAACTTTTGCCGAAATCGGTTTAGATAGCTCCCATAAATATTTTCATCCCATTTTACCATTTGCACCAAACTACATTTTTACCCGATTGTGGTGAAATATTGCATATCGTATTGGAATGAGTCTAGAATAACGTGTACAAACTTTTATAGAAATCACTTCACATTTAGATATAGCTCCCATATATAGTTTCGTTCGATTTTATGTTAATGATGCACCAAAGAGTCAGGATTAGCCGATTGGTACAACCTAACGTGTAGAAAATTTGTTGAAGTCGGTTCAGATTTAGATATAGCTCCCATATATATTTTCGTCCGATTTAATGTAATTGGTGCACCGAAGTTTGGCCGATTGGTACACAATTTTGTACAATGTATAGAAGTTAGTGTAGCCTAACGTCTGTCAAAATTTCTTGAGATTTTGATATATGTATGGATTAATTGAAGCCGGTTAACATATATAGATAAAGATAACATAATTACTTTCGACAACTTTTGTTAGAATGCAGTTGTTGAATATAGCCAAATGAATTTGGCCCCGTCCGACTTTACTAATTTGCTTTTGTTGCTGATGTTGTTTTGGAAACATTTTCCAAATTTTAGGTAGTAAGCATACATGCCTTTAAAGATATCCGACCGCGTATACGTACAGGCCTCATTAGCCGCCAACTTAATTGATATTTTATTATCTCATCCATTGATTGGCTGACCGTATGTCCTGCATCGGTATAGGTCCATACAGTCAGCCCATACAGCCATCGGTATAGGTCATAGGCGTAGGCGTACAGTCCCCATTACAGCCAACTTAAATGATTTTTTATTTGCTCAACATTGATTGGCTGACCGTATGTCCCTGCGTCGATATATGTCCATTTGTTGGTATAGCATCCATAAAATGGTAAATCAAAATCAAAAACAGATGTTATAAAAAATCTGACTTATGGCTATAGATTTTATAAAACCCTTTCTTATGCCAAACGTGTACCTAATCGAAATATTAGTTTTAGATCCCATAATGCCGTAAGAATGGGCTATCCGATGTTAATTTAATCATTTAAACAAGTTTATATGATGTTGGAGGATGCAACTTATCTGTCCACTACTTCTAATAACTCCCCCACCAAGTGTCGTTATTTTGGTAATGTGAAGAATCAAATTGCATCCAAACATTGAGCATGGCAATATTTTTATCGAGCCTTGATCAAGTCCAAAGATGAGACCCATCGGTCCACTCCTTCTGTTACCTCCCACACAAAGTGTGAAGATTTGTTAATTCAATATTATTAAGCAAATGAAATGTTTGCGTCGACGCAAACTTTGCAAATCGCAATAATTTTATCATATTTACGAGTACATTAAGTCAGAAGAAGAAGAAGAGACCCATTGGCTTCCTCCTTCTGGTACCTCCCCAAAAATATAAATTTTTTGTGAACTTGTAAACTTTATGTGATCCATAGATTGAGCATTGTAATATTTACTCCCCACAAATAGCCAGTAACATATAACGAATAGTACATCCGCGGGGTCTAAACATGTCAGACCCTACTATTTATACCAGATAAAGATTTAGTGCAATTATCGACTGTATAGGTCCCTCATCTCCGGTACCACCACAATTTTGAAATATTATACATTTAATAAAAAAAGTGCTCCACTTCGACCCTAGGCAGTAATTCCGTAGAACTTAGGGGTTTCCAGTTCCATATTTGAACCGGGAATCCTTTAGTTTTGATGAAATAGTTTGTGGGTAGAATTGTACCCCTTTCATTTATACCGCTTCGCAATTGTTCTTGTACTACTTAAAATTTGCATACTGCATGCATCAGTCTCCGCCAGTGGCTTTAAAACACAATGTCTACTTCACTTCCGGTATCTCTTGAAAATTCCCACTTTTTACAATTTTACACAAGCGCATTGCTTTACATTCGTTTAGTAGTCCAAAAGGGTAAATGATAAAGAATGTACCAGAGGACATTTAACGAAGGACACACTCAGACAGTGATTGTAGAAGCAACACCTACCTATTGAGTGAAACGCAGAGATTGAACCAAAGAAAATAGTGTACAAGGAAACTGAAATACATCACTATAGGAACCAACGATCAACCATGCAAGGAAACAGAAAAAAAACAGACAAATGTAATCAAAGCTATGACAGGTCATCAACATATAGACACATATGAAAGAGCGAGAGAGGGAGTTATAAACAACAACATTGATTCTGTAAAGAATTTTTATATTTTGTTTTATTTATAAAAAAACAACAAAGCACACATCGACTCATTATGATGAAAAATATACAGGATGACCAAGGGATGATGGATTTATATGTTGGCTGTGCGATAAATATGAAGTCAGCTGTTGGAAAAAAAGACATTCCAAAAATACGAATAAAAAATAAATAAACAAACGATAAAGTTCCAACAACAATAACAAAAATGTTCCTATTATTGACATTGAGATTTGGGCGAGGGGAAATGGTTTGTAGAGGTAGAAAAGCGTGTCGAATAAAAATTAGAAAACAAAGTTTTTATTTGCTTTCGTTTTGTTTTTTGTGTCCTCTGTAAAAAAGGGGACCAACAACTTTGATTTGTTGTTGTATTTTGGGCCTGTTTGCATTGATATGAATACAAATGAAGTGAATTTGTACAGTTTAGCTATGATATTGATTGGATTTTGTTGAGATTTATGTTTTTAATTGTATTCAAATAAAATGGAAATTCGTTAGAAGTTTTTAAATTAGTCTCTTAAATCAGAAATAGGATATATTTGTTATGAAGTGATGGATAAATATGATGTCCTCTTTATTTTTGTTTGGATTTAAATATCAATCCCTGTCATCAGTAGAAGATACATAGAAAGCTATTGGTGCACTCTCAGTATAAAGGTGACTGGAACATATAGAATTGAACCATACTTTGCCCCTCTCGGTGGTGGTAATGTAATAAGGGGCAGAATCTGAATTTATAAACAAACATCAATGGTGACTGGAATAATCATTCTTGAAGCTCAATATGTTGTACCTCACCAATATGTTGTATAAACGAGTAAAAATGCCGCAAAGTTCGCCCGGGCGGGAGTTGCATTAAATATTCCTCAAGTCACCGGGATATTTATATGGGGACTATGCTACGGTGTTATGTGATAGTAGGTTCTTCATGCTTCGAAAAACTAGTGTTGGCAATTACAGATACTCTATGTGGAAAGCATAAACAGTACTTTTTTATACCCTCCACTATGGAGGGTATATTAGGTTTGTTTTTCCGTTAGCATCGAAATAATCATCTCCGACCCTATAAAGTATGAATATTCTTGATCAGCGTAAAATTCTATGACGATTTAAGCATGCTCGTCTGTTGTAATCACTCTAGCGTCTAAACGAATTGAGATAGATCGGCAAAATTGCATAGAGTCGTCGTTTCTCTACAGGCAGGTCAAGTTCGAAGATGGGATATATGGGTCCACGTTAAGGAATAGCTCCCATATAAGGGTACCCCCCAATTTTCGGTATTTTGAGGTTCTTGAGCGCGATTTTCAGCCGAAAAAGTAGAACGAAAAAAGTAGAACGTAAGGTTCGATAATGAACTATAACCCGCTTTTAGTCCTAGCCCCTGAGTGGGAGGTACTAGAAGAAGGGGACCGATATTCCCCATCTTCGAACTTGAACTAAGTTTGGAAGGAATAATAAGATGGGCAAAGTTTGGATGAATTCAAAATTTTCTGAAACGGATTTGGTCCAAAGAAACATGGGGTCTAGAACCATTATTTCTATGAGGTACATTTTCACCGTGTCAAAGTATAGGGTGTATACACTTTGACACGGTCAAATTAGCCATTAGCCATAAGGCTGATGGTATAATTATCCATTAAAAATTTCCGAAATATGTATTATGGTTTACATAATGGGTTTGTATAAATGTCGGTATAGGTCCACTTTTTGGTATTTTCCCTATATTTTCATTTCAAGTACCTGTCAGTATATCTATGGTGAGGGTATTCAAAGTTCGGCCCGGCCGAACTTAACGCTTCTTCACTTGTTACATTTATTTTTATCAGGAATCCCATATTTCAAATAAAAGTCAAATTCGGTTAAAAATTATTAATACCGAAAAAGAACCCATGCACTTCTGATAGTGAAGGACATACAAAATTTGCTATATGCGTTCGTTTGTCACTTGAAAAAAAAAAAAACAAATCCAATCTATGGAGATTTGTTTTTGAAAAATCTGTCTCAAAAACCCACATGCATTGATTTAGAAAGCTACTTTAAATCAACTTCTAACAGATATGCTGGCTTATCTATCATTAGTCCATATCCTTTGCCACTAAATCACAAAAGCCTACGGAATCAGCTTCTGTCTGTTTGTGGATTGAATGAACGAATGCATGAATGAATAACTCAAGTCTCTGGCCAAATTATGTTGGTGTTTTTGAATTATCACCTTTATGTCATTGCCAGGGGCCAAGAACAGTAGCAGTAGCAGCAGGAGCAGATACACTCAAAGATCAAAAAACCATAGAAATCATGTGTCTGTCTGTCTGTGTATCTGCTTGTGTATTTGTAGAAATCCCCCGGCAAAGATTTTGAATACCAATCTCTAACAATTGTTGTTGTTTTCTTTGTTTGTTTCAAATGCTGATGATGATTTTTTTTCCATTTCGCCTCAATGCTGGCTGTTGTCGTTGTTGTTTTTATACACTTCACCACACTGTGGTACAGGGTATTATGTCTTTGTGCATATGTTTGTAGCAGGCAAAAATAATCGAGATAGACACATGGTTCCTTTTGAGAATATGCATAGAATCACTTTTTAAGTCGATTTATGCATGTCCGTCAGTCAGTCCGTCCGTCCGTCTGTCTGTCCATGTTAAATTGTAAACAAAGTACAGGCCGCATTTATTATTCGAATTGGATGAAAATTGGCATAGGACACTTAATCGGCCAAGCACGAACCCTATTGAAATTGGGAAAAATCGGTTCAGATTTAGATATAGCTCCCATATATATATTTAACCGATTTAATGTAAACGGTCCCTATATATCTTTCGGTTTGCACGAAATTTGGTACAGCCTAATCATTTAGGTCTAGAATGATGTCTGCCAATTTTCGTGAAAATCGGTCCAGATTTAGATATAGCTCCCATATATAGTTTCGTCCGATTTCATGTAAATGGTGCACCAAAATCCCTATATATCCTTCGATTTGCACCAAATTTGGCATAACGTACTGAATTGAGCCTAAAATTATGTCTGCCAAGTTTCGTGAAAATCGGTCCAGATTAAGATATAGCTCCCATATATAGTTTCGTCCGATTTCATGTAAATGGTGCACCAAAGTCCCTATATATCCTTCGATTTGCTCGAAATTTGGCATAACGTACTGAATTGAGCATAGAGTCATGTCTGCCAAGTTTTGAGAAAATTGGTTCAGATTTAGATATACCTCCCATATATAGTTTCGTCCGATTTAATGTAAATGGTGCCCCAAAGTCCCTATATATCTTTCGATTTGCACGAAATTTGGCATAACCTACTGCATTAAGCCTAGAGTGATGTCTGCCAAGTTTCGAGAAAATCGGCCAGATTTAGATATAGCTCCCATATACAGTTTCGTCCGATTTCATGTAAATGGTGCACCAAAGTCCCTATATATCCTTCGATTTACAAGAGAGTTGGCATAACGTACTGAATTAAGCCCAGAGTGATGTCTGCCAAGTTTCGAGAAAATCGGTCCAGATTTCTATATAGCTCCCATATATAGTTTCGTCCGATTTCATGTAAATGGTGCACCAAAGTCCCTATATATCCTTCGATTTGCAAGAGATTTGGCATAACGTACTGAAATGAGCCTAGAGTGATATCTGCCAAGTTTCGAGAAAATCGGTCCAGATTTCTATATAGCTCCCATATATAGTTTCGTCCGATTTCATGTAAATGGTGCACCAAAGTCGCAAGATACCTTTCGATTTGCACGAAATTTGGCATAACGTACTGAATTGAGCCTAGAGTGATGTCAGTTTTTTTCGTGAAAATCGGTCCAGATTTAGATATAGCTCCCTTTTATTATAGATTGATTTTAAGTAATTGACGCACCAAGGAACCAATGAGCTGATAGGAACAAAACTTTCTGAAATTAGAACAAACTAACCTGTGACAAGTTTGTTTCAAATCGCTTAATATTTGGATAGAGATCCATATATATTTTCCCCCGGTTTCAAGTAAATTGGGCATCAAACTCCTCATGTTAGTCAGATTGAAATCAAATTTTGCACAACTTACAAAATTTAGCATAGAATTACGTAGTTGCGTTTTCCAGAAGTACAGACATAGCGCTGACCTATTAGTGGATGACCTATTTATATTTGTTTGAAGTCGATTTACATACTTTATGGATATATCTAGGTAGATTCACATTTAAATAAATATCAACTATTTTAGTTCATCCAATTTCATTTTAATGGTCCTGTTGAATACACCCAAAGTGGTGAAGGGTATCATAAAGTCGGCCCCGTCCGACTTTACTACTTTCCTTACTGGTTTCTTTTGTGTTTTACACTTTTCTCATCATCTTCATGTGTTTTTTTCTCTTCTCGTTTGCTTTTATGTCATTGCAGTTTGTAACCGCACCTATTATGGCGACATTGGACGAACGTACTCCATTAAGGTGCCAACACCACAGTGGAATAAACTCCCGTTTCTGTGTCACTTAACATTCACAGCATCAGGACACGATCAAGGTGACATTGTACAGGTAAGTGTTGTGGTTTCAGATATAATGTGTATAAATGTGTGTGTGTATATGTAAATGTACATAGTTAAGGACAACGATTATAGCGAAGGAAAAGGATTTTTACCGCAGATATTCTGAATAACAACATGACAACGACAAAAAATAACAATCACACACACACACTTACAAAAAGAACTCATACACACACACAAATCTGTGGATGATAAGAATGATGAAGATATATGACATAAACATTATACAGGTATTGGGGAGAGCGGGTGTGTGTATATGTGTGCATGTATTACGTGCTTATGCATATATGAAGGATTTTTCGGTGGCAGCAATTTTTCGAAACGCATGCAAATGACAAGAAGTTTATTAAAGGGGAAACAGGAATGGCATTCTTAACCATGGAATTGGCCTCAATACCGGCTGCTACTGTTGCTGCACACCACTTAAAGGGCAAATGATACGTGTGGGTGTAATGCTCAAAAAGGGTGGGTATTATGTTTTTAAAGAAAAGAAAAAGGACTCCTACCCATGCAACGGAAAGATAATTATTCAGGCACACGCCTTTAAACAACAATAATTGGTGATCTTGATAGGCCGGAGTTTTTGAGTACCAGTAAGTATAACTGACTGAGTCGGCATTCATTTTATGTCCTCAATAGATAGGATGTCTCTTGTTTCCTGAAGTTTGGGTCGAGTCGAAACAAACTCAAAATTCGGATAGCAAGGTGGCTCGTAACAAGTAGAAGAAATCGAGGTAGACCCATGGCTACATTTGATAGATCCATTAGAATTGACATTGCCTTCATATAAAGGTCCCAGTATTTTGAAGACTTTAGTCAAGTTTTCAGCTTATGCTGCTGCTATTTGGCAATCCGGGTTCTTGGGGATTAAAACATAACATATATCCCATTTTCGGAATTATTAACCGAAATTTCTCATCGAAGTGGCCATAATTTGGCATATCGGATTCCAGGCCATAACCATATCACCTTTAATTTTCGGAATGTTTAAGTTCC